AATTTTACAACTTTGGGTGGGAAGACATGACGTCACCCAACTTGTCACTGATGCTCGACATTGCGACGGTCATGGCGTCCGTTTTGGCGCAGGCGCAGCAAAAGGTAAACAATGGATCTTTCAACCACCGTCAAGTCCCGTTAGGTTGCTGTGCACTGCCACGCTGGCTACGGTATTTCGACTTTCGGAACCTTGGCATGACGCGCAGTAGGACGCACGGGGCTCGCGATTGCGTGTACGCTCATCTTTCAACACGGCATTTCAGCCGCCGAAGTGCGCTCCTGCGATCGGTTGTGGAGCTGCGCTAAGCCTTGTCCGATGTAGGCCATCGCGATCGTTCGACGCGGCCGCCCGGGATCGATCCAGACCCACGGCCAAGTGGCATTTGTGGGACGCTTCCACGAGTACCTTGGACAAGCCAAGCTCGGTACGCACCAGCAACCAGATCTGATGGTCTGCAAGTCCAACTTAGTGTTTGCGCTACCCACAATTCACAACCGGTTCTCGCTCGCAACCATCCTCGAGCGCGAGCGCTTCCAGTTTCAGCCGTCGCCGCCCGAGACGTCGATGGTGTTGCCACCCCGCGTCGTACGCAGCTGCATGCAAGGATACAATGACGCAACTTGGGCGTAGGTGCGCTATCTCTGCTCGCAGGTCGAAGCGTGGGCCGCGCAGGACGTGTGTGCGCTCGTTCTCGCGTATGTCGGGCACCTGCCCGCGACCACGTACTCGATCTCTCTTTTGCCGCATCTTCAGCTGCTCCAAGTGGCCGAGAACGCTGACGCTTGGGCAGACCACGTGGTTTCTAGCGACGCGTTGTTGCCGATCAAGGCCCAAATGAACTTGGGGGAGCCTAACTGGCCACAGAATTCGACCACGCCGATCTTTGCCGGCTTGCTGCTCGACTGGCTCGAGCACCTAAACCCACCCCTCCTCGATAGCAATGACCTCCACGACGTCGATCGGCTGCGGAAAGCGCCGCTCGCGACGCTACGGACTCTCGAGCGCCTCGTCAACTTACTACGCGTGTGCCGTGAGGCCATGCGAACGAAGCCGGCCGAGCTGCCCATCGATGCCAATACTCTTCTCGAAGGTCTCTATGCTCGGACCGGTATGGCCATTGTTCAAGCCCCGTCGCTTCGCGCGCGGTCGTTGATTCCCCCGATCAAGCACCTCGTCGAGAGTCATTGGACGAGTCCATCACCGCTCAAAATGGCATCGATGGCGTCCGAGGCCAAAGTCGAGCCTCTTGACCCCACCAAGTTTCCCAGTACACAGTAGGTAGCTTGTGTACAACACCTCATTCCCTTCTAGCGCTGCCCCCCGTCGTCACGACGCCGTCGTCGTCCCCCTCGAAATCCTCCCCCGCCAAAGTCTCGCCCAGTAAACTGTCGCCGACCAAAGGAGCCTCCAGCAAATCGATGGCGCTCGAGCCTCCGATTGCGTGTACATTGACGCCAGAGTCACCACCCAAGTTGCTGGAGAAGCTGCCGCGACGACCGAGCGACGTTACGGACGCGCGCCTCGTCAACAAGAGCTTCCCGTCACCCGAGAGGCCTCGAACGCTCCCCGAGGTGCAGCTACGTGGTCGCTCAATCCTCTAAACGCTTTCGCTCCGTTAAATCCAATGCCGTCCGCTATAAGTGGAGGCGAAACACGGGAACAGGATTTACTTTTTGGGGCGTCAAAATCTTATCCCAGCAAGTGTCGGTGTGGAAACGGTTGTAGTAGATTGATCCGCGAAGATGCGTCGCAGCGTGCGGTTTCATCCGAAAAGGCAGGTCGTTCGCTCGGGTCCGACACGATGAATGTGAGCTGGTACCGCCACGAGAGCTTCGCGTGGGCCCGCAACAAGAGCGTCCGTGTCCGGCCGAGCAGCGTCGCGTTGGCTGTTGGACCAATCGTGCCAGAGGCTCCAAAAGGCCGGCGCAAGCTGACCCATCTCGCAAGCCTCGTCGTTTGGATCACTCTGTCCCTCAACTCGCTCCTCGACCCGATCAAGACTCTGTACGGCTACTATCTCTACACCGAGAGCAACAACCGTGAGAGCGTTTGGGCGATTGTCGTCTCCAACACCTTCAACAACGCCTCGTCGCGCGTGTGCGACCCCCACGGGTCGTTCCTCGACTGCTACTACGAGTTGCCAGTGTACGGCACGGGGTCGCTGGCCGGTGCCACGTGTCGGTCGTACTACCCAGTCGATAAGAGCGAAACCCAGCACATTGGCAGCTTCTTTGGCAACTGCACGCTCCCCAACGGACACCGGCTCGACCTACCGAGTGATGTGTTTGCAACGAGCCAGTGGTCGCTGCAGACCGCGTCCACCGATCGCAGCTGCCTCGCCGCTCTTGGCGAGGGCGACGCCTTCCCGTGCGACTCGTACACGACGGGGAGTGGGCGCGTCATCAACTACCGCGTGAGCAAGACGTCGACGACCAAGTGGTGCAAGGAGTTTGGCGGCTACTTCGTACGCAACCTCCACACTGGCATCCAAGAGGTGCTGGTGGCCAACGTCTCGAACGCGTCTGCCCCCGTCTTCACGAGCCTGCGCCTCGACTACTTGACACCCGTGTTCAGTCTGGAGGACCTCCTTGGGTGTGCGGGTGACTTTTACGTCGGCGGCACTGCCGGTCACACGACAACGACGGCGTGGTACGGTGACACGGTCGGTGCGTGGACGGCGCGGACGTCGAGCGCGGCCAAATCGACGGTGGTGACTCGCAGCGTCGACGGCACGTACGTCCTCGCGGCGTTTTCGTGGTTTGAAGGCGCCGTGACTCAGATTGGGCCCATTTACAGGGACATCTCTCGTTGCAGTTTGCTGCTGCTCGTGACCTTGTACCGGATCTCGTCCATCTACTATCCGATCTGGCTTGTCTACAAGCGGCAGGGCCGGCCCTTCTGGTCGTGGGCCGCAGCGCGCCACATGGGCCTCGTCTTGCACAAGCGCGAGCGGCGCAGTCTCCCGATCCTTACGATCTTGTCGCTCGAGGCATTGCTGAGCACGGAGGACATTGTGTCCAACTGCCAGCACGCCATTTACACGGTCTCGAGCTCCTATTTCTCGATCATCTTGACGTACATGTCCATCACGCGCATCATCTGGCCCTGCGCGTTCCTCCTCCTCCTCGTCTCCCGGCTCATCGAGTGGACGGTCGGACCACGCTTTGCGTTTGCTCTCTCAGAAGACCTCTTTCTCCTCGGTGCACCGGTTGTCTGGGTCTATCTCCCGACGTATGTCACAACGCAGGGCATGAAGCTCTTCCATGGCTACCGCTGGAACGGTGTTATCATTCGCCACTACGTGAGCACAATCCGGAACGCGTACGCGAACCGAATCGATAGCTTTGCGCTCTACACTCAGCTGTTTGGCTACTTTACGGCCATTTCGTCGGCGACGACCATCGGCCTCGGCTGTCTCTGGCAAGCGGTGACGCACACGAGCTCGATCATGAATTATTTCCTCTCGCCACATCGCAGCGCCTGGCGACATGCCCCGCGCGAGTGCAAGACGATCGAAGACGTTTTGATCGCGTCCACGGAGCGGTTCCCACCCGAAATTGCATACCAAATCACCAAAGCCAAGTGGCCGCAGTCACAGCAGTGCGAGGCCATGAACCTCGCGTCCGAGGGTCTTCTCAGCCTCGTCTACGGTCCGTGGCACGTCGTCGGCTTTACCGAGTGGGGATTTGTGTTCCCACTCATGAATGCAAAAGGCCACGCGGCAGTCATCGATGGCTGCACCGTCCGGTTTCGACCCGACGTGACGCATGAGACGCTCGCTAGTCTCGCGGCGACACCGGCTCGCCTCGGGATCCCAGACCTCGTGTAGCCCTGCGCGCTGTGTAAATGCTTATACAAAATTAATGTGATGGTTCGGACGACCTACAGTCCGCAAGAGACTAGCGTGTCGACGCGCTGCTTGAAAGTTGGTGCGTACCCTGTATTGCGGAGTGTTTTACCAAGGCCATAAATATACGAATATTTATGGCCTTGGTATTACACAGAGCGGTGGCGTACGTTCCCTCGAGGCACCGTACCAGTCGTTCTTGAGGGACGGGTCAGTTTGGCTGCGTGGGCAAACCGGTCTGTGGTGGCAGTGAGCGTCCGATGGAGCGTGACTGGTCCGTTGTATGACGGAAACAATTTTTACTGTCGTGCTCCTCGCACAGCAGTACGAGCTCAAGAAGGCGATTGCGCTGAAGCAGCTGAGAGATCAAACCGAGCACGACAAACGGCTCTCGCTTCAGCAAGTTGTCATTACGACGAACACCTGGCGCCATGTTGCAGCAGTGCCGCACTCCTCACCCTCGTCTTGCTACCTAGCGTTGCCACCGACCCAGTGCGTTTACATGAGCACCATATGTCTAACAAATCTGTGGCCGTCGAGGGCTTTTATTCTATGCTCTTGAGTCAGCTCCTTGGGTCTCCTGGATCCGTGCGTCCCTGAACATGGCATGTGCCACTGAGAAGGCTTCTTGATGCCGCATATATATAAAGATCGGCATATCTGTCTACACGAGTTGTTAGCGCTGTAGGCCGCGCACGACGGTGTAACTTGGCGCTCCGTGCTATACACAGCATACATTATCACTCTACAAAGTATAAACCATATTTTTTCGAATTTGACCATCAAAACATTCGCACAACCGTGAACACCGCACCAAGTTGCGTGTTGTTAGCCGCATAATCTAAAATCTGGGTGTGGGTGACGAAATGACGATAACGCTGCTGCGGCCTCGTAGCTTGAGCATTTGTTCATAGTGAGTGATGCGATATCTGTAGGATTGTGGACGGTGAAACTTGTGTGGCCTTGGTCCTTTTTTCGTCACTCATCGCTTCAATTCAAGACATTGGTTCACCAGCTAAGCGCTTGCAACGACCGCTGCAGTCTC